AAATTATGAACGGATGAAATTTACAAATAAATAAAAATAGAAATTCTAATATTTTGCTCCCAAGCAGTGTAGTTGTAAGACTTTATTTAAAATATGGTTTTAGAATAATTCTTTTAAATACCATCCTTTCCAGGAATGTGAAAGATCAAAGACCCAAGTGCCATATGCCTTTTTCCTACAATCGAGCTTTTAAAACCATCTGTCTAATAAAAGGCAAGATTTCTTGTCTGTTTCCCCCATTCTAGGCTCCTTAAATGTTGGGACATCTGGCTTTAAATTTCTTATGAGATCCTTGCTCTCTCCTTTACCTCCTATGATTTTGCCATATCAAGTGGCATTTCCCAGGCGCTGCCAAAGCCCCACTTCAGGAAGAGCTACAAGGGAAGAAAAACAAGCAAACAAACAACTGTTCATTTTTACTGAACTAACCAGGAAAAGCTGACCCTGCTTCATTTCAGAGAAGAAAATATTCTGGAGCAGCCAATTTACCTGCTGTCTCTGCAACTTCACTTCTTTGCGAAGTTGCTCGACTTCCATCTTCAGTTTCTCCTTCTCCGGCAGATCCTCGATGTGGAGCGCAGGCATGTCCGCCCCAGAACCGGGTCCAGCCCGCGCGGAGGAGCGGCTGGAAGAGCTGCGAACCGCGGCGCGTCCCGAAACGGCTGCGGGCCCGGCCGCTCGCCCGCCGAACAGCGCCGCCCGCGCCCGGGGCTCGGCTCCCTGCGGGACGCCTCGTCACGCCAGCTCTGCCCCGCGTCCCGGGCGCGTGACAGTCCCCTTCTCTTTCCAGTCCCCGCAACCGCGGGAGGCCCGCCCTGGTGCTGCGTTAGGGTTTTGCGGTCCGGGCTGCCGGATCCCGGCGGGGATGCTGGCCCGGGCGGGCCCTGGCTCAGGACGCTGCCACGCCCGCGGGGGACCGGCTGGGCTGGGGCCACGGGGCTGGGGACAACAAGAGTGTTACTTTTTGTTCCCCCTTTTTTTCCGTTTTCAAGTCACATCCGGGTTTTGTTTGTGAAACGAGGAAAAGGAGGACATTACCCAGCAGGAAATAGCGGCCCTTCACCTCTGCGAGTTTTACAAATACGCTGTATATAACTTTTCCCCAGTTTGTGTGTGTGTGTGTGTGTGTGTGTGTGCGCGTTTATTTATTTACTGTGGGAAATGTGGACACTTGGGAAAAGGCCCAAAGGAAAATGAAACTCAGCTAGAATCTCAGAAATGCCCACCAGGGCCTGTTGATCTATAGCCATTTAGTCTCTTAAAGGCCTAAAATGAATTTATCCAGTTTGAGAGAAAAGGAGAGATCGGGGTAGGAATGTTGTCCAACACTTGCACGGACATTTTCTGTCATTAAATAATCATCTATGTCCTCAACAGCAGAGTTTTTATTTTTTCCTTCAGGCGAATGTGTTGCAATGAGTGGATGATATGAGAGAAGACAGAAGCATCTTAACGTTCTCACTCCAAGGGTTGGGTAAGACTTGACACCAAGGATTTTGAATTCCTGGCTCATGCACCTTCCTGGATGTAGGCAGTGGATTCAGTTAGCATTGGCTTCTCCGCCTCCTGGAAAGAAACGCTCATCTAGCTGGCACTTCGTAAAGCCAGGAAAAATGTCTGATGTGAAAAATGTTTACATGCATTAAAACTTTCCCTTTGACGATAACCAAAAACCTTGTTAATGGAGCTCAGAAGACTAGAAGAAAAATAAAACATGAATGTAAGAAACTTTTCCAAGCAGTCGGATATTTCTTCCCCCCCCCCCCCCCCACCCCCAGAGATAACGTCCTGCCTGATAGAGTCAAATTCAAGTAAAGAGTGGGGCACTAACTGAATATTTCAGGGTACCTAACCTTAGACACCCATAACCATTCCCTGTTTTGTCAGAAGTTTCTGTTTGTTCGCAGTTTCTTGCCATGCTCCACCCACTTATCCTCAATGACTATATTAGAATGAAAAGGACAAGATGAGCTTCTTAGTCAGTACTCGTTGGTTATAGTCCCAGCTCTGCCACTGACCGTCACTGGAAAAGTCACTGCAATTTTTCTGGGTTTTGGTTTTCTAATTTACAAAACGTATAATGAGGCAGCGGAGGAAATGAGTTGGCTAACATATGTTGCGTCTCTAATTGCATTTATATGTCTATATATGATAATAATTTTCACAAAGAAAGTGTTTACAGGCTTCGTTTTCTATGTTTGAAATACCAGGTTCAAAGAAGTTAGATCATCTGCTGAAGTTTTCCTTCTTAATGAGCAGCGAGCCAAGACAAAAGCTCACATCTCATTTTTTTGATTTTCTATTCCTTAACTTTAAAAGCTTAAAGATAGTAATTATGTGAATGTGGCCCAAATTAAACAAGTTCAGTGCCTAAATTAAATAAGTTGGTTAAGTAAATTAATGTATGTCTGTTCTAAATCTTAAAAATAAAATTATTTTGACCTGGAAATTTCTTCCCTGTGAAATCATCTAGTTGCATAGAGAGATAAATATTTATAAGCTCATATTGGTTCTTTAACTTTTTCCACAGTATTATGAGGCTTACATTGTAGATGAAATACACCTTAGTCTACCTATTTTTAGTTTTTATTGTTATCAAATAATTCATATTATAATATCTTACTAAGTAAATTGATCATACTAAAATAAATTGTGAAATGCTGACATTCCATGATCACACAACATTCTGAAAAATGTTTTCTTGTTGTTGTTTGGTTTTAAATGGCAAAATGATGAGAACACTTTTTTTAAAAACAAAAGGATATGTAGTCTTCTATCCCTAGGCATTGAGTTTACCTACCAGAGAGAACCACGTTCAGCAATTTCTCATGTATTCTTGCAGAAACAGTCTATCAGCAATATTCAAAAGTTTTTAATAAATAAGTTTTTCATAAACAGATTCTGAATAAATAAATGTAAAAATCTGTATAAGTTGTATCCAAGTGTGGTGTTAACTTTTTACTTATATTTTACATATTGTTCCTAATAAAACTTAGTTTACAAAATAGTGTGAGCAGAAACCAGTGTGTAGTAAAAATAACAGGTATAACCAGAAATGAGCTTTAATTAATTAACCCACTGCCTTTTGACAAATGTTTTAGAGAAATCTGTTAAGAGAAATAAAAATAGTCATTTTCACTTTTAAATTATACAAGAAGGACCGTGGAACTTTTACTTCGATATGCAAAAACAAGAAAAACAATTTTTGATTATTTTCCTGTTTTATTAAATATGTTGTTTAAAATCCACGTGAAGAAAGCTATATAGGAAAATACTGAAGGCAGTTGTATTGGAATTGATTTAATGCTAACTTGAACTCAAAAAAGACCAGGATTCTGGTCTTATTCTATCTTGTGATTTTTGCAGGACACTCATTCTCTCTGCATCTCTGGTTGGTATAAATAAAGTAGGTTACTTTTCAAGTTCTGCTGTTCTAAAATTTATAAAGTGAATGGTGACCATTTAGGCCATTAAGATGATAGTTTCTTTAAAGAAAGTATTGATGCATTCTTGACTCATTTGATATTTGGTTCAATCTATTAAAACAATCACATGGCAATTTTCAGGAAGTCACTAATTTCATGTAACTATGTACATAATATTTCTAGATGAAGATAATGTCAAGTCACAGGACATTATGCTCTGATTACTTTAAAACTACATAAAATTCACGGTATCAAAATGATTTCTCAAAGGCCCAAAGGAAAATGAAACTCAGCTAGAATCTCAGAAATGCCCACCAGAGCCTGTTGATCTATAGCCATTTAGTCTCTTAAAGGCCTAAAATGAATTTATCCAGTTTGAGAGAAAAGGAGAGATCGGGGTAGGAATGTTGTCCAACACTTGCACGGACATTTTCTGTCATTAAATAATCATCTATGTCCTCAACAGCAGAGTTGGACTTAGATACCATGCTGCTTCCTCCATCTCCTAAGGACATATATCCCTGAAGTTTTTTCTCTCTGTGGCACACACCTGGGGTTTCTAGAGTTGGAAAGTTGATGCAGCAGGGTGTGTCCTAAAGGGTGGGGTGGCTGGCAGAGAGAAACTGATGATGAATGATATGTTTAATTTCCACACAGTCAGTGGCATCCAGGTTCCTGCCCAATAGCTAATTTGAAACTTCAAATAAGTAGAAGTTATTTGTCTCTTTTTTCCCCCTGTAAATTCTGTACAGTGATACCAAATATTAAGATATTCCAACTTTGCACAGGCACTGCTTGACTTTGGCATATACAATTATGTTTAATATGTAATTTCTAAGGCTTACTGTGTGAAAAAATCTAAGCGACCAACACTTGCTGTTCAGGGAACTTTGCCATGCATAAAGTGGATCCCTTAAAGTCTCAAGAAAAAGCTTATTAATTGGGTACTGTAACTTCATTTTTTTCCTTTAAACACATTGGTATCTTTAAAGCAACAAACTCCTCAACATGGAAAGAAAGGACATTCCAGTACAAAATCTAAGAAGAGCATGAATTTGGAAGTAAAAGTTTAAATTTGAGAAAAGAAACACAGAAAGTAAAATCCAAAAAGGCCTTCATCTTCCAATCATCACCCAATAGTAAAAAAGCACTTGTGAACATATTTATCAGAACTTGAGCAGCAAGGCACATTGCAACACTTTTATTTCCATTGTTTTTCTTTTCTTTTTTCCTAGTACTAAACCATAAATAAAATCAGTTCAAATTTTATTGCAGTGGAGAAAAGATTAATTTCCTTTAAAAAATATCTATCCAAAGCCTTTTCCTAGACTCCAGGTTGCCTGATTGAGTTAAAAAAAGGAAGAAAGATTAGTGTCTAAATGAAGGCCCCAATTACCAGTAAGAAATTTAAGTAAAAGTTACAAAACCCCCAACAAGTTTCAGTTGAGAATTCTGAATACTGGGGCATATGTTCTCATTGAAATTGTAATCCATATCAGTAGTCTCTAAATTTTTAAAATTGTGATTATTAAAATGAATTTTTATATGCACCTCAGTGTATGTATAATTATGTATTTATAAATAAATGCAGATGCTACTGTATTAATCCATTATGCAGACTTATAAAACATAAACTG